TCTTTCTTTCTTTCTTTCTTTCTTTCTTTCTTTCTTTCTTTCTTTCTTTCTCTTTCTTTCTTTTTTTCTCCCTTCTCCCCTACAATTCTCCCTACCTTATTTTCCTTTTTTTTTGTATTTTATGTTATATTTTGATAAACTAATAAAAATTCTGAAAGCTAAAAAAGAGAAGAATCTGCATTGTGGATAAGTGAGTGGTTGGGAGGTTAAAATGTAAGCAGTATCTGTTAAAATAGACTTGATTACATTTCATGGGAGAACATAAGAAAGATCTACAAATACGGAAAAAAAGATAAATTAAAGAATTTGAAGAATGTGTAATACAAATGAATGACACAGAAACATTCAGCCAAGAGATGTAAAAAGATTTAGATAATGTGGCATGACTGGATTTAATAGAGAAAGAAAGTTGCTTAGGATTGAGAGTAGTTACGGAACAATCTGGCAAAGATTGTAAGTTGAGGGTTGCTGAAGCCTTAAAAATAGAATGGGAAGAAGAAGACTTGGTTGCTGAAATCAACAAGTGTCTATACCAAAAATAAGTGTATCTTGCCAGGAAGAAGAGAAATTAACACCAAGCTAAGAACCAATAATGCAGAGATACTGGATAAGAGACCAGACTATAAAATTGACTTGTTTCATTGGGGACAAGACAATAAGGTTCTTTAAAAATGCTGGAAAAATTTTCCTATACTTTTTGCTCAAAATTTGGACAAAAGTTATTTGATGCTTTTGTTGATTATTTTGGGACTTGCAGAGTGAAGGATATGGGAAGAAGTGAACTATGTAATTTTAAAGTCATCACTAATACTAATAATAACTAATATTAAAACTACTGTAAAAAGGGAAGTTACAGCATTTCTTTATTTCTTTATAAATTATCTTTTATTTTCTCCACTTTTTAGCTTTCCTTTGTCCATTTCATTTTTTTGTATTTTATGTTTATCTTTCACTCATTTAAAAATATTTAATAAAAGTTATATTTTTAAGGAAAAAATACTAAAATCACATACAGAAACAGCATACTTAGGAGTCAAAGACGGAGGAAGATTTGGGGATTCATTGGAAAGGGCCCCCTCTCACTTCCCCCATCCTTCAGAAAGACGCGCGTCCAGGAACATCGATGTTCTCCAGAGTAATTTTGCCTCTGACACCAGATAGCCAACTTTAATTAGTGGCCATAGAAAGCCTATCAAAAAGTTTTCTCATTTACTAAATTCATTATCGTTTAAATGGCTTCTATTCTTACCTCCCAGGGTGGTAAATAAAATATCAGTTTTATAATCCAGAGAAAAAGTTATAGTTGTTATTAATCCACTCAGAAAGCCTCACTGAAGTGAAAGAATTGATTCCTTTCTGAAGAGAACAAAACATAACATTACATGACTTGAGAGTAACCAAGGAGAAGTCCTGACAAGGTGAACTTGGAAAGTGGAACATTTTATAGAGGATTGTATTGTGATTGGTGATCTGTGCAGTAATCAAGCCTTAAGTCTATTGGGTCATCAATTGTTGAAACTAGTCAGTGGTGGGATTCAAAAAATGTTACTACCAGTTCTGTGGGTGTGGCTTGGAGGGCGTGGCAGGGGAAGGTTACTGCAAAATCCCCCTTCCCTCCCCACCCCACTGACCTGCTTTCCAGCTCCGTTCTCCTATGCAGGGCAACCAAAGAAGACCCAGCCAAACAGCTGGGACTCAATGGGAGGCAGGGAAGAGATGGGGTTGGTGGGGCCAGTCAGAGGTGGGATTTGCCGGTTCTCCGAACTACTCAAAATTTCTGCTACCGGTTCTCTGGTCGGAACCGGCTGAATCCCACCTCTGAAACTAATGCTTTAGAACGTGACTGGTAAAGGGTCGGTGACGTTTCCTACAAGATGAAGTAGATCAGGGGTGTCAAACTTGCACTGGCCCTCCTCACCCTGTTTAGCAAAGGAGAAAAAAGTTGTAATACGTCATATGACGACAACGTGACACCACAAGTTTGACACCCCTGCAGTTGATGATTCCATTAGAATCTATTAGTAATGTTAACAGAGCCCTGGTGATGCAGTGGTCAGAGTGCAGTACTGCAGGCTACTTCTGCTGACTGCCATCTGCCTGCAATTTGGCAAATCGAATCTCACCAGGCTCAAGGTTGACTCGGCCTTCTGTCCTTCCAAGGTGGGTGATGAGCCAGATTGTTGGGGGCAAGAGGCTGACTCTGTAAACCGCTTAGAGAGGGTTGCAAAGCACTGTGAAGCAGTATAAGTGCTATAACTATTAACTTAAGTGTATCATCTGTTGCCTAAAATTCTAGGCATGAACTTTTTAGCCAAAAAATCTTGCAGTTGAATCCAGGATTCATTTCACATCAAACATGTATTCTAAACAAATGAAGTTCCTCCAAGGAACTTAGTTGGCCCTTTATGAAAAGCCTTCCAGATATCTTGAAGTGCAATTTTTCATTTCTGCCTATTTATTAAAAAATATAGCCTATTGGAGTCAGGAAACCATCTTTGGGTCTTTCAGGGGCGCACTGTGTATGAAATCCTGTTCTAATATATTTCTCCCCCCCTGCCCCCCCTCCAATCTCCAGGTCCTTGAACGGTTGTTCCAGAAGGGATTTAATGTGGCAGCGTCCTGTGGTGGAGGCGTAGATTCCTCCCAGTTCAGTGAATACGTGCTGTGCCGTGAAGACCAGAGACCACAGCCCAATACCACCATCAGAATAAAGCAAGAACCCCTAGATTAAGGACCGACTCCCTCCTTCCTTGGAGACAGTGGGCGTGTTCAAAGGTCCCCTTGGGTGGAAACACTCAGGACTCCCAGAACAGTATTAATGCAGGAGCAGCCAGCCTGTTTCTGAAGCAACCCTGTTGTATGGCCAGCCATGACTCTCAACGTGGAGACAAGGACAAGGACACAACCCAGAGTTGTTTGTATTATTTACTCAAGTCATCGCAGTGCACTCGGAAGCCTGGCGTGTTGTGGGATTGTTTTGGCTCATGGAAAGTAGTGGTGCTTCTGTAAAGAACTTAACTGGACCGAATTTGGTGGAAAAGACCAATTTATGTAATTAAAGTATGTCTCACTGAAGGAATGAGCCCACCAGCTTCCTGGACGATAGCCCCTCTGTCCTACGAATGTGTCAAAACCTTGATAGCTGCCAGAAGGAAACTGGTGGTATGCTGAGCGTCTTCCCTGAGCCCTGTACTATCTCTGGCCTGTCAGTCGTTCCTCCCCTATCTCCATTTGTTACTCATGGTCTTTTTGCTCATTCCTTGGATTCGTTGCATTATGGCTTATTTTTCTACGGCGCCTACCGTTGTCTTAGAGGAGCCAGTTCAGGGAAGGGACCAAATGGTGCTGGACCTGATTTCATTCTTTCCAGTCCTACATCTTTTGCTGTCCCCTCATACACAGACACAACTCGCACAGCTGCAAATTCTTTTTTAAAAAATGAGGTTCAAATCGAGTCCTTTTGCAAAATTGTGTAACTTTAAATAGGTCCTGAGGTGAACCCAACGTTAAGTTATGCTGGTTTTTATTGTCGATAAGAACGGCAAGTGGCTTAAATGGTGTCTCAAGTCACTCTTCATTCAAATTCAGTCCCCATATTGCCTTGACACATGGAAATGGATGATGCCACACTGATTGGATGTTGCATGTCATCTGTTTAAACCAGGGGTCTCCAACCATGGCAACTTTTAAGCCTGGTGGACTTCAATTCCCAGAATTCCCCAGCCAGCAGGAGTTGAAGTCCATCAGGCTTAAAATTGCCAAGGTTGGAGACCCCTGGTTTAAATGGCACAAAAGTGCCATTCTATTTCTTCTTTTGAGCAACTACTTAATACTTTGCTTCCATTCACAAATCCTTTGGCATCAGCATTCTTTGAATAAACTTGGCTTTCAATCTCTGAGCAGTCGTGACCAAAACATCTGCCCATTTATACTGTGCCATAATTTGGTGGTGTATGAATGATTCTCTAGGTTGTATACCTTGATGGGTAGGTTAGGGCATCCTTCCTGGCCAAAGGAACTTCAGACCAATTGGGGCTGCCATTCCCCAAAACCCAATGGATGTAACTAATAGGAAGAGGGATAATCTCTAGCGCTATTTTCTTTACCCGCTGATTGACTGGCTTTGCACAAACACTCAAGAACCCAAAGCTGGATCAACATGCATTTATAAGCCATGCTATGGTCAAATGTTGATGGCCTGTGGGACTTTGAAAGATGGCTTGTGTAAGGTCGTGCCTCAACGGTGCCCTCAAGAAAGCAGAACTCTTGAAACAGGTAGCCTTTCAAAAGGAATTTTTATTGGGCAACAGTGATAGCAAAGAGAATAGGCAGGATCTAACGTTACCGCACTAAAACGTTAAGTTAAAAGTTGTTTGTTAAAAACCCCTCCCCACTGCTCAGTCTGACGCCGGCCATTCCCCATTCACTTGGCTTCCTAGAATGAACTGAATCACAAATATCCACTCCTCCACATGGCATATCAGGTTGTTATGCACCTTGCAGCTATGCAGAGCATTTGAGTTTTGCGACTACATCCCAGTATGAGTCTCTTCTCAAAAGATTTTAAAAAATAAGGGCAGGGAAGGGTAGCTCTCCACCCCTGATGCCTCCTGAGCAGCGTACTGAGTGAGAATCCAGACATTTTGACCAGTCCTCCTTGTGTAACTTTTTGTACTGACAGAAAACTTTGGAGAACCTCATTGAGTTGAACTATGAAATGTATCTGCAAGTTCATGGATCAAGCTAAGTTTGTGTTATTGCTTATTTGCAACTCGTTTCTCATGAGCACAACTTCAAAAATCGAGGCTTGGAGAGAAAACTGTATCTGATGAGTGTTCAGTCATAAATAGTGTATTTCATACTAAAAGTGTGTATCAATTCTCTTATCAGTTTAATGTGGAATCCTGGGAATTATAGTTCTGATAAGGTGCTAATCTGGCCAAGGACCTCAGTTATTTTTTTTCCCCCCCTCAAAACTACACTTCCCAAGATCCTCCACTGCAGCAGGTCATACTTGGTTTAAGCCTGGAAGGCAAATCAAACTGCCAATTCAAAAGATTTGGGAGAAAAGACAGTTTTCTTGATTTGTAAGCCTGCCAAAATGGATTAATAGTGTTAATGGTTTGAAGTTCAAGGAAATATATATACCAAAATGGGGCAGGGGCCCATGAAATGAAATAGCACAGGACTAAAAACTCCCTTCGATTTTGGTGCCCCTTGTGAAGAATTTCATTAAGGAAATGTGGCGTCCCAACAAGCTGGGCAGAATTGCCCATTTTTGAACTGACCAGGGGGCTTTTTTTTTTTACATATTTCATCAGCAAGATTAATAAACAAATGGCCACAAATAGAAATTCCCCACCAAATTTGTGGATAGGAAGGTATTTCACCAGAGTAAAGAGAGGTTCTCCAACAATTTAAGGACAAAACTACAGAACTGTGGTGGGGCAGGAGTGTCAAATTGTACAAGATGGCAGTCACACATTGCATTTTGCAAGATGCTATCCCTGCAGTTTTGCTGCCCTTTGCAAATGGTGCTGAAGGTTACTAAAAAAACCTGAAGAGATCTGGGGGGGGTGATGCTACCAAGAAAAACAGGACATTCTCACACACACATACACACACACATACACGTCCCTTAGCTACCTCAGAACTAAACAAGTACAGAATTGTCACAACACACCACTTTTTCACTAAGGTTCTCTTTTTCAAAGTACACTTTTTTTAAGTACGCTACTTTTATCAAACTGAGTGAGAGCTGTTAAGCAAAAAAAAAAGAAGAAGAATTTCTCCATCTGTCCCCCCCAAACACAACTGGTTGAGGGTTAACTATGCAGAAAAGTTGCTGCATTGTACATTTTGTGCCATCAAGTTAGTTTAATATCTTTTTCTAAAATGTTTAGGTCTTAATGCCATCCCTTTTGTATGTAAGATACCTATTAAATTGTATTGTACTGTAAATGCTTAATATTGTACCTTCTCGGCATTCCTCTTGCCCTTCATAAAACAAATCGTGCAATGTGTCTATCAACCATTCTTTGGTGTTTGACATGCTCATAAAGTCAAAAGCCAAATACGCAGAATTTTATTTCATTTCAGTGTTTGAGAACAGAATTTGGGTATTCAAATGAATTCCCCTAGGACATTCCTTCTGGGGTTGTGTGCTTGAAACAGGAAAGGATGGTGCTCTTTCAGCATTCCCACTTATCTAACTGACTTGCTATTCATGGTGGCTCATGACCCAAACTCATGACCTAATTTGACCTTTTGCACCAAGAAATAACTTAAGTGCTGCTAAATCTCTTCCCCCTTTTTAAAAATACATCAGTTATTTCAGTTTGGCTCACACAGTAGTTGTCCCGTGCATGTACCTAGACTGATTTTTTAAATTAATATTATTTTAGCTATAGAGTCCGTAACAGTTGATTACACCCCTTAGAAATCTAGTACATTTAGGTAGCGTTCAACCTTTAGCACAGGGGTCTCCAACCTTGGCAACTTTAAGACTTGCGGACTTCAACTCCCAAAATTCCTCAGCCAGCAAAGTCAAAGTTGCCATTTCTTTGTGGAAAAATCTCAGGCATATTAAAACATTCTTCATCTTTCCCTAACTCCAGTTTAGAAATGTTTTTGCCATCTAGGTTGATTCATTTACCTGTGAGACTCCTTGCCTAGATCTGCAGTGACCACTACGCCTATGTATATTCAATCTTGATGCATTTGTCATTTTACTGTATTCTACCGTGTCTCTGTTCTTTAAAAAAAAAAAAAAATGGAAAAAAGCCCAAAATCCCCCACCTCTCAGGGAAGAATACTCAGCTGGCTTCTGGATAAATGCTTGCCCTTTTCTGAAAGCAACCTTGGATAGCCAAATTGCATGCCAATCAAAATGCCATCAGTGTGTGTTTGTGTGTGTGTGTGTGTGTGATGGCAAAATGCCATCACATTACCAAGATGATGCGTCCTGCTGAAAATATTGATGAAGAGTGTCCATAGAGGATGTGGTCAAGAAGGCATGCACCAGATGTGGCTGCCACCTTTTTAATGACATCCTGTGGGCTAAGTCTTAGGAAAGAGAAGCAGTTAAAGTACAATCTTGTTTCTGGGATCCCTCAAAGGCTAGAGCAGAAATCTGCTCGTGGTTTTCTCATCCACTCTCCTCCATTCCCCTCTTTCCGTGTAGACATTTGTGAGGCATTTCAACTTAGGTAAACTGGCTTCGAACCTTGTTAAGTCTCTTAATGGGAAAGTCCTTCCATCAAAGGTTCCTGCAAATGGGAAACCGAGTCATGACTTCAGAGCACTTGCTGAAGAACAGTAGTGAAATACGAAGGACATGTGGAAACAATACCGTAGGTTGAGATACCTCCTCTTGAAAGCCTCTAATGCTTGGCTAATTGACTTCAGGCTGCGGAATGTAGCATTTTATAATTTCATGTGCAAGTGTGTTTTTCAACGCTTGGCTCTTCAAACCACCACCTCAATGACAGCTGTGTCTTATTTATTTTTCCCCTTACGCACACCAGATTGAGTCACCTGAAACAAAAGGGGGAAACAACAGCAACAGCAAACTCCATTTTGGATCCAAATGGTGCACCAAAAGAAAACACATCCAAATTAAAAGCAAAATCCCTGGGAACCGAATTGATTCAAATGGCTGTTTTGATTACAACTTTTCTACAGCTCCATAAATGTCTCCTCAGGTGGTAATAACATCAGTTACTGTGTAATTCAGGAAGACTGTGTCGATCTTCCAATGGCCCAAAACGTCCAAACATGCCTTGGTCCAACTGTTTGGGGCAAATCTATGCTGGCTGGAGAATTCTGGGAGTTGAAGTCCACAAGTCTTAAAGTTGCCAAGTTGGGAGACCTCTGCAGTGTAACCCAATATATTCCTCTTTGGAACTAAACAGAGGGAAAAGGCCATTTTGCTGGCTATTTTGAGGAACCCACTCATTAACTCAAACATTTTGTGGTAAACCAGCCAATGCTCATCAGCTCTGCTGGCATTGCTACCTAATGAAGCCAAAATAGCTTTAAAAAAAAAAGTTCAAGTAAATGGGTCCCATGGGACCAGTTTAAAAGATATGTCCCACTTTTCTCCGTCTGATATCCCTAATATTATGTGAGGCAGGCATGGTAGCAGATTTCTTCTGTTTGGCTTCTCACAGGACAGAAAATGGACCTCTTTAGACAAAGTAGATTGTGGCTTCTTCTCTAGCAGACATTTCAGTTTCACTAACAAGTGTTGAATATTATTTTGGATGCCATTTTCTTCCTTAAGAACCAACTTTTCAAAAGCAACAGGACCAGTTGTAGTTTCAGATCAACACTTCCCTTCCAAAGCATTTTGAGATGCTTTTCTGTACAATGAAAAATATTCCTACTAATTCTAAGTATTTCACAAACAAGGGCCATGATAAAAAAAAAAAAAGACAGACTCCCTAGCCATTTGTCCTCTTCTCTCAGAAACATACAGTAAAGCTGATTGGGAAATGGCTAGCCACCAGGATATATCGGCAAATCTTTTGAGTTTGAGAAGCCAGGGGTGGTTTAAGGGTTAAAGGGATGCTTACAAATTGCACATGCACATGATGACATCCCACCAAGAAAGCTGCCCATTCAGTGGTGGGATTAAAAAAAAAATTACTACCAGTTCTGTGGGTGTGGCTTGGTGGGCGTGGCAGAAGGATACTGCAAAATCCCCCTTCCCTCCCCACCCCACCTGCTTTCCAGCTCCGTTCTCCTGGGCAGGGCAACCAAAGAAGAGCCAGCCGATCAGCTGGGACTCAATGGGAGGCAGAGAAGAGATGGGGACGGAGCCAGTCAGAGGCGGGATTGGCCGGTTCTTCAAACTACTCAAAATGTCCACTCCCGGGCAGAACCTGCTGAATCCCACCTCTATGCCCACTCCTGTTCTAACCAGTCCAAACTCCATGTAATGGCCAAGCCTCATGGAGTCCTTCTTGCCACCTACAACAGGCTAAGAGAGAAATTAAACCAACCTCTGGGCCTGCAGACAGGAAGAAGGACAGCCTTGATGGACATAGGCAAACTCCGTTACCAAATCGATAAGTTTAGAACAAATAGAAAATACTCAGACAGGCACCTCTCTGATTCACAGGAGATACGAAGGAAGAGGCAACACAGTACAATCAGCCTTGCAAGATTCAATAAAAATAGTTTTAGCCTTCATGTGGATTTGATTTTCTGGTCTGATCTAACTGATAGGGGTGAACCTCACAAATCTCCATTTGCCAAAGCATCCCTTTTCTCTAACTTCTTTCCTACAAAATGGTTGGTATTTGCAGTAGCGAAATGACCACGAGGGGGATATATACTTCATGATTTATTGCTTCTCCATTCTAGATTTCTTCTTCACCTTCATCTATCCCAGGTTTTGGGGTCAAAGTATAACCACAAATATGGGTTTTTCCTGTATCCATTTATTTATGCATTTCTGTTTTCTGCAGAACGGGGTTCATTTTTTTTAAATTCACTTCCACCTACCTTTTGATGTGATGCTGACAACCATCTTGGGAGACAGATAAGACCCATGCTGGGTCTCCAGCATGGTACCTCCTCGCCCAAATAGGGTCAACATTTTGCTTTGAAAACTGCTAGGCTTCCTGTCCCCGTTTGTATTTCTCTTGAGGTTCTTTTCATTAGAAATAAATAAAAGGGAAGTTGCAAAGTGAAGCATCCTCTCTCTTGCCACATATATCACAAAGACTATCTTCAAAAATAGAAATGGCAGGGGGCTTCCTAATGAAATGAGTTCCTTTATGTAGAGGGCATAGGGAATGGCCTTGTAAAATCTGTAACCAAGGCAACAATCAGGCAGCAAGGCCTTATGCTCATTCCAAAAAACAAACTTAAGGAATACTGCAGGCCGGCCCTTCCCTAATTCAAATCAAGGTAGCAATAGCACTTAGACTTATATACCACTTCACAGGGCTTTCCCGCCCTCTTTAAGCAGTTTACAGGGTCAGCCTCTGGCCCCCAACAATCTGGGTCCTCATTTTACCCACCTTGGAAGGACGGAAGGCTGAGTCAACCTTGAGCTGGTGAGATTTGAACTGCCAAATTGCAGGCAGCCGAAGGAGCCTGCAGTACTGCACTCTAACCACTGCGCCACCGTGGTACAGCGAGGGAGGAGCACATTCGGACTTGCAAGCTTCTGTTGCTATGGCTGCTCCAAGGAAAGTAGTTGTAGACCTAGGTGGCCCTGGTTTCCTGACAGGGCTGACATCTTGTCAGAGGAAGTCGGAGTCAAGGGAGGGAGAGGATGGCAGGGAGCATCTCACCACTTGGATAAAAGGGAATTTTACGACTCGCTGTGCTCGTGTGGGGCAATTCTTTTCCCACCCAGATAGCAAATACAGGTAGCCTTTGACTTAGGGCCACAATTGAGCCCCACATTTCTGCTACTAAGTGAAACATTTGTTAAGTGGGTTTTGCTTTTTTGGACACCACTATGAAGTGAATCACTGAAGTTGTGAAGCTGCAGCTGTGAGTCACTGCCAAGAATCCTAATTTTGATCATGTGACCATGGGGGATCCTACAATGGTTGTAAGAGTCCGAAGTCATGTTGTAATTTTGAACTGTTGTAAGTCGAGGACTGGCTGTGCGCCCCCGAATTAGACTGAGGAAAAAGGACTGCCAAGAAATATGAATCCAGCTCTTTCACAGCCTCGCAGCCACTTTCCCTTTTTACCAAAGCCGGTTGTGTTAAACCAGAGACAAAACATTTTGGCTCTTAACCCTGAGCAAAGGTGTTACAGCGTTTTGTAGGAACCCTGGGAAAGGATTAGAACCCCTTCCAAGTTCTGGAGGGAAGGTCCTGTACCTAAATGGAGAGGTTTTGACTGTGCTTGTTGTAATAGCTTGGATGGTTGGATTTATGAGCCAGAAGAGAGTCTGCTTGCGCCCCGAGGGTTGCATAGACAAAGCCCTAATGTGATGCCAGATTAAAGCAGTCTAGCTGGAGGGCACACAGCAATCCACAGCTGGTAGATGGACAGAATTTAATGAGGGAGGGAGGGAGAAATCAAGCAG